AGTTTTATATGCGATCTCATCGCAGGATAAAAAGACGTGCCGAAGAGAGCAAATGGGCACCATTTATTAGGTCTTCGTGAAATACTCAACAAGTATGATGAAGATGCCAGAAAGTTTGAAAATTACCGATCATAGTATAGTCGAACTATCAAAACATGTCAAGCTTCACTCTGGCTTTTGAAGGGGACCCTGAATATAGCTAGGTCATAAATATGGCCTAACGGCTGAAAGGGATTTCTGAGACCTCTCCACGGGTGATCCTTATCCGAATGGTGGTACTTTGTGTCACCGGGTGTAAATCTCTTGTGTGATGTCCTCATGGGGTAAAACTACCTACCTACCTACATGCCAAGCACCGAGCCATGAGTTTGCACATAATGAAATATTTATCTGAAAGTATTTAAGCACAGTTACTCGATCTCCAGTTCTAACTATAGTGCTGTAATAACTAAGATCAGCGTGAAGGCATATATAGAGTATTATAGAATTACCACATGCAGAATCAAATTTGACTCAGTAGTCACGTAAACAGACCCTTTATCACGCCTTTATGTGTAATAGGTATATAAGGCTATACCTCTATTTTACAGACCAATCGCACTTGGTGGGTGATGTGGTTAATATCGCGATTGCCTCCTTTACTTCTCAGTACTTTACTTGGTACAAACTTAAAACTTGATCGACGTGGGAGCCAGTTTCTTTTTTTTGAAAACTAAGTCCATCTCCATTCGGATTCGAACCTACGACCTTCGGATCTGGAGGCAAGCATCTAGCGGCTACACCGCGGCGTTTCCCATACAATCACGTGACTGGACGAAATTTTCAAATACTAGACTTAGAATAGATCGGGCGTAGAATTTTGGTAATTCGTTTGTCTAGTTTTCTTGTCAGCTTTGCTCATAGACAGCTTCAAAGATGCTGGTTGATAAAAAGATCACAATAGACTCACAGCGACAGTTTCTGGTTAGCGTGACAGTTTCGTGTCGTTTTATGATATTAGAACATTTGGTTTATTTTGCAATATCTATATCTTCTTTTACCCCACCAGGATATCACACAAGCGATAAACACTCGATGACACTAAATGCCACCATGTGGATGAGGACCAACCGTGGAGAGGTCCATGAAACCGCGTTCAGCCATTAGGCAATATTTTTTAGCCGAACTCTACTGCGGCCAGAGTAGTGCTTCAAATAACGAAACATTGCATCCCACAAAGGGATGACTAGATATAATGATAATTATTTGCATAAAGTGAAATCAATTTAATTTGAATGCAAAGTGCCTATTAAATTTATAATATCACCACTGAAGTATATAGTCATTTAAATTCAAGTATTTATTTTTTTACCTGAAGTTACTTTAGTCAACTTTTCGGTTCCAACTCTGGAGTATGAAATGTTCCCAGAGTCCGGCTCTTTTTATCAGTGTTTGCTTCAACTCTGGGCTACTTGTTATTTATGACTGCTGAGATTGGTGTATGACTTGGTCAGCAGACGAAGTACACTATATCCGGGAGGGTCATTCGTCAATGTGTCAACATGCCCAGGTCAGTTCTGTGGTCACTTGTCACCTGACCACTTGGGAAGAAATGAATGATATTTCTCTTGGTGATTTTCCAGAGAAAAACAACTTGAAATTGGAGTTTGGGGTTAGAAACCTCCCCCCCACCCTCTCCTCAGGTACATTGACCTCTCACCTGGTGAGTTTATTTAGTGTTTCTGCGTGTCACTTCACCAACGAAATGAATCCTTATACTATAGAGATTGATCTACGCATGACCAGACATGGGTCGAGCTGAACTCTTCAAGTGCAAGTACTCGACATTATGAATCTGACTTAATCCAGTTTATTGGTCTCAACAGATTTATTTAGGGAGGAATAGAGACAAGGAATGGTGTTATTCCCTTCACCTCTGACTTCTTCTTTCTTCTGCCTTCTAGCTCCCAATGGAGCATAGGCCCTCAACCAACTTACTCCAAGTCGTTCTATACCTCGCTATAGCATATAGCTAACCCCATGTCCTTCCTCTCATTTTAACTTCACGCTCTAGCGTCCTTCCCCGTGTGTTTTATAGTCAGCCTTTATTGCTATGCCCCTGTGGATTCCAGTGCCAGGACATTCTAGTTATAATGTTATCAGGTTTTCTCAAAGTATGTCCTTTCCAAAGCCATCGTCTTTTCTTCATCTCTTGGTCCACTCGAACTTGTTTAGTTCTCTCTCAAAGCTCAACATTAGTGATTTTATCATACCACTTGATTCCCTATGTTCTGCACAGGCACGAGTTAATTAATGTTTGCGGTTTATTAGTAATTGTTTTAGTTGTTATCAGAGGGAGGCGCCGTGGCGTTAGCGGCTAGACGCTAGCGTGCGGATCGGAAGGTCGTGGGTTCGCTTCCTGAAGGAGCCGGCATTTAAAAAAAAATGCGTGTGTGTGTGTATGTGTGTGTATATGTGTGTGTGTGTATATATGTGTGTGTGTGTGTGTGTGTGTGTGTGTGTGTGTATGTATGTATGTATGTATGTGTGTATGTATGTGTGTATGTATGTGTGTATGTATGTGTGTATGTATGTGTGTATGTATGTATGTGTGTATGTATGTATGTATGTATGTATGTATGTATGTGTGTGTGTGTGTGTGTGTGTGTGTGTGTGATTGTATGTGTATATAAAAACATAAAATAAACATTACAAAAGAACAAAAAGAAAGAAAGAGAGGATGGTGTCTATAAAGTTCTTTTAGTTGTTCTCCTACTTAAACCTCCTCCATTAGCAACCACTACCAGGGAATGTTACGTGGTGTTTGACCTTCCATAGGCCAACCCAGCCTTGAGTTTATCATGTATCATGTATGTATATATATGAATGTAGTACGTAATATGTACCCACGTTTGTATGTATGTGTGGGTGCAGTACCGGGAAGTAAAGGCGGCCGGCGTGATGCTGACCACATCATCCATCTTGTGCCGATTGGTCAATAAAAATATAGGTCTATCCCTAGATGCCTAAAAGCGTGGAAAAGGGTCCTTTACTTACTTTAGTTGTTGTTATCAGCGTTTCTGCTACATACAGCGCTACTGCTTTGACATTATAATTAAAGATTTTAAATTTAGTATTAGTGTTGAGTTCTTTAGACCTACACAGATTTCCTAGTGCAAGGAAAGCCTTGCCTTTTGTATATTACCTTCACTATAATTTCCCCTATCTGCATCTATACCACTACCCAGACAGGTATACAACTCCACATCTTGGAATGGGAAACCTTTTAAAGAAACCACATTACTAATTTGCCTGATTCATTCTCATTATTTTTTGCTATTCTCTTCAGAAAACAGAAAATCTAAGTATTTTACACAAAGCAGCAATGTGTTTTTATACCTATTTGTTGTGATATCGTGTCGATCATATTTATTTTGTCCTTTATCAGATTCCGTGGGTGGGATAGAAGAGAAATATCACCAGCGAAGTCCAGATCCTCAAGCTGTTTTGTAGGAGTCCACAAAATTCCAATCTTGGTGTTAGCAGTTGCTATCTTCATAATCCAGTCTTTTGCCAGTAAAAATAGAAGAGGTGACAAAAGACATTGCTGTCGCACACCCGTTCTTATCTCAAATGTATCTGTTAGCTTTCCCTAATGAAGAACTAAACCGTTCATGTCTTTATATGTTGCTTTTACTAAGTTAATAATTGTCTGTGGGGTACCATAGTGCCCCATAAATTTCCTGAGAGATTATGTACCAATGCTGTCAAAAGCTTTTTCATAGTCTATAAATCCAAAGTAAAGTGGTGAGCTCAGTTCAATGCTCTACTCTATTATTATGCATAATGTAGTTATTTGGTCTGTAAGTATCTGCCTGGCCGAAAACCAGCCTGTTCATCTTTTAGCTTTCTATCAGTTGCACCTCACACTACTGTCTTTATTAAATTCCTGAGATTGCTCTAGTACCTTTTTATGATATCTACAATATCATTATACTTTACTTCCTTTCCTTTTTGTGCAAGCTTGAACACAAACAAACGCATAGAACACCAAGCTGCTGACAACTACAAATGTTTATTGCTCCAACGATGCTCCTACCGGTCAATGAGCCAGAGGTTTATCTAAGGTAACTGGCTATTTACTACTCACGAATCACCGAATATACATTCATTACCTGACGCCTGACCAAAGTTATCATTTAAAGTACTTCCAACCATTGGCACTTCGGTATTCACACAGCTGCATTCAAAACCACTCGAAATCACAGCAGACAATTGTCATCTACCCCCAACATAAAGGGAGCTAGCAGCATAGCCATGTTTCCTTGGGAAATAGGTCAGCAGCTTGATTATAGTATACCCACTTACTTCATGGATACGTTCAGTTCACACTCTTCAAGCGCTACGATACCAGACTCTCGCGGGATTGAAAACAAGACTGAGCTTTCTCACTCGTCCGAAGTTTAAATAGTCTATTCTACTTTTCGTGCACTCAGAAGTTCTATTCACGATTTTCTCGTCTGGCCCACTTCAGCCTAACTGTACTTATGTAAATCAGTATCACTTACTCAGTCTGTTCACGCATACATTATAGTTAGTTATCGATGCCGTGCATCTGAATTCTCTCATATATATTATATTTTGTAGTTGTTCTCAATTTCAAACATCAGACTATTTTCCAGCAGTGAGAAAATGACTCATCAAATCCGTCTGTCTGTCTGTCTGTCTGTCTGTCTGTCTGTCTGTCTGTCTGTCTGTCTGTCTGTCTGTCTGTCTGTCTGTCTGTCTGTCTGTCTGTCTGTCTGTCTGTCTGTCTGTCTGTCTGTCTGTCTGTCTGTCTGTAAAGTGTGTAATGTATGTATATATGTGTGTGTGCGTGTGTGCGTGCGTGTGTGTATGAAAGTGTGTTTATGTATGTATGATTGTATGTGTTTATATAAGCATAAAATAAACATTACAAAAGAACAAAAAGAAAGAACGAGAGTATGGTGTCTCAAAGTTCTTTTAAGTTGTTCTCCTACTTAAACCTCTTCCATTAGCAACCACCACCAGGGAATGTTGCGTGGTGTTTGACCTTCCGGAGGTTGTTGACCTTGACCCCCAGGTAGGTTCTTGACACCTTGCGACCCTTGGAGCCAGCTGTTTGGTGGAGGTCCACTACCCGGGCTGGGGTAGGGTCCCGGCTTGCTGAAGAGGTTGTGTACTGCGTCGTGAGCTAGGAAACAGACAAGAAAAAGGCGACTGAATTATTACTTAAAATATCAAACTTAACAAAGCAATTATTCAGGGCCCCATGGAGAGTGGGAAAAGACGGAACGCGATACAGTACTTTTTACAAGTGTGTTGTTATTGGCGAGTAATTAAAAGTTTGTGGAAATCTGATGTATCAGATCGAAAGCAGCAGAGACCATGGTGTCGGACTCCAGTGCTGGAGGAACTGGGTTCAGGCCCCAGTGAAGGCTGAGATTATCCTCCTCCTCCTCCTTCTTCTTCTTTTTTCTTGTTCTTCTTTTTCTTCTTCTTCTTCTTCTTCTTCTTCTTCTTCTTCTTCTTCTTCTTCTTCTTCTTCTTCTTCTTCTTCTTCTTCTTCTTCTTCTTCTTCTTCTTCATCTTCTTCTTCTTCTTCTTCTTCTTCTTCTTCTTCTTCTTCTTCTTCTTCTTCTTCTTCTTCTTCTTCTTCTTCTTCTTCTTCTTCTTCTACTTCTTCTACTTCTTCTTCTTCTTTTTCTTCTTCTTCTTCTTCCAACACCAGTTGTTAGTCTGTGTTCTGCGGATGTGAAAAGAACGAATGCAATGAAATAAACGGGGATACATTTTGATCAAAGCCTTGCTTATACTGAGTACATAGATCAGATTAAAATGAAAGCCAAGCGGGGTCTGGCTGCGATGAGAGTGATGGTGGCGGGAAACTGTGAGCAGCGTCATCTATGTCTTCTATACCAGGGTCTGTTCCTTTCTATTTTTGAAAACGCGATGGCGATCCTGACTCTCAGTCATAAGCAAATGGAAAAGATGGAAAGGATAGTGAACTAGGCTATGCGCATTTTACTTGGGTGTACATGAGATACAGCAAGTAGGGCTATGCGCATTATACTTGGTGTACAAGAGATACAGCAAGTAGGGCTATGCGCTACCTTCTCGATTTTCCAACAATGGAAGACAGAATACAAATTTCCTGAGCTCGTGCCTACATCACAGTCAAGGCGGTCACACAACATTTATTGCATAGTCAAATCAAGACGATAAAAGGCTGCAGGTTATAAAGAGGCAAATCGTGGATGGGTCAAGCCGAGGACATTATTTTACAGGTATGTTCACTTGAGGACATAGAACCCGGCGAGGAGTGGGTGCAAGTGCCTTCAGAGTACTGTACACCTTTTTCTGTTTGCATCCAACTAGACAGAAAATGCAGACAACAGATTTCGGCTGCTGTAGAAGCAGAAGTTCAAGCCTTGATTTTCTAGAAAACTCTAGAGGGTGATGCTGTCATTTACATTGTAATCCGCCATGTTAGAAGCTCGTGGGCCTTCACGGATCAGTTTACGAGGAGAGTTGGGAAGGAAGATTCTGGGGCTTTTGTAGTAATTACAAGTAGTCTGACTATGGAGGTCATGGCTGTGACTAAAGCAGTAACATGGCTAGAGACACAGACTTTCACTGGGGCATGCTTTCTCAGTGACTCGATGAGTATGCTCAGGAAGATAGAGAAGGGCTGGATCCGAAGGCGGTGGTTGGTGGGTTTACAGAATTCACGGCTGAAAAGGATTAGTTTCATTTTAATTCCAGGATATGTATGGGTACAAGGAAATGAGCAAGCTGATACGCTTGCCGAAAAGCTACTGTGAAAGATAGGACTGAATGCTCTAAGAGAGTTAAGACGTCTTCGTGAGCCAACTGAGAACTGTGAATCTGCAACCATGGTCAGACTGCAAAACAACATGTCAAACGGGGTCTCGCCAAACAAGAACACTAGGCGGGTAGTCAAGGAAGAATAATAAACCAACACAGAACCGTTGTCGTAAGCCGCTACACGCTGCGGGATTTATTCAGGAGGGGATCCGAGCACTTAGGGATTGAGTTGTTCGACGTGTTCTTCTTCTTCTTCTTCTTCTTCTTCTTCTTCTTCTTCTTCTTCTTCTTCTTCTTCTTCTTCTTCTTCTTTTTCTTCTTCTTTTTCTTCTTCTTCTTCTTCTTCTTCTTCTTCTTCTTCTTCTTCTTCTTCTTCTTCTTCTTCTTCTTCTTCTTCTTCTTCTTCTTCTTCTTCTTCTTCTTCTTCTTCTTCTTCTTCTTCTTCTTCTTCTTCTTCTTCTTCTTCTTCTTCTTCTTCTTCTTCTTCTTCTTCTTCTTCTTCATCTTCTTCTTCTTCTACTTCTTCTTTTTCTTCTACTTCTTCTTTTTCTTCTACTTCTTCTTCTTCTTCTTCTTCTATTTCTTCTTCTTCTTCTTCTTCTTCTTCTTCTTCTTCTTCTTCTTCTTCTTCTTCTTCTTCTTCTTCTTCTTCTTCTTCTTCTTCTTCTTCTTCTTCTTCTTCTTCTTCTTCTTCTTCTTCTTCTTCTTCTTCTTCTTCTTCTTCTTCTTCTTCTTCTTCTTCTTCTTTTTCTTTTTCTTCTACTACTTCTTCTTCTTCTTCTTCTTCTTCTTCTTCTTCTTCTTCTTCTTCTTCTTCTTCTTCTTCTTCTTCTTCTTCTTCTTCTTCTTCTTCTTCTTCTTCTTCTTCTTCTTCTTCTTCTTCTTCTTCTTCTTCTTCTTCTTCTTCTTCTTCTTCTTCTTCTTCTTCTTCTTCTTCTTCTTCTTCTTCTTCTTCTTCTTCTTCTTCTTCTTCTTCTTCTTCTTCTTCTTCTTCTTCTTCTTCTTCTTCTTCTTCTTCTTCTTCTTCTTCAATTATTATTATTATTATTATTATTATTATTATTATTATTATTATCAATAATAATATTATTATGATGCTTTTCTAACCCCTAAGGGTGCATACACCCTCAACCAATTCACGCCAAGTCGTTCTATCTTTCGCTATAGCATGCAGTTCTCTCCATGTCCTCCCCATATTTCGCCCGTATGTAACCGGGGTCCTCACAGAAAGAAAATAATTAAAACACTACAACCTACCAAGCCTGACGTAAGAGGCGACTAAGGGTATTGTTGGGCTTGAGGTTGGCTGCCTCATCCTGAATAAAACAATAGCCACAAAAACCAACCAACTATGAACATGAACGAACGAACGAACTTTTATGTTAAAAATGAGCCGCCAAACTATGCTATAATGTAGATCAAACGTTCTGTTTCACCTAGTACCTGAAATGGCTGGGTCTACAGGAAGATCCAGTGGTTTTACCGGACTTGATGTCTTCAAATCACGGATTTTAGACTTGAAAGTGGTAGCACTAGTTGATGGAATTGTGGTCGTTTTAGGGAGGATTTCAGTTTTGCTCTGTCGTGGGGAGAATCTGAATTGGATTGCTCCTGGTCTAACAGTGGTGGGTGTGATATTTGGGGAAAGTGGTCTAGGTCTGGCGCTTCCTGTTGTCGTCAGTGGAGGTGTAGAGATGAGGAGTGGGGTGGCGTTGCTGTTATCGAGGCTGGTGTCAAGCCCACCGACCACAGCGTCATCTGGCGAGAACTCCATGTTGAGGTTGTTGATGTCTGGCGCACCCAAGTTTGGCGACACGGTTTCTGGGGGAAAGAATGTTTAGTTCAGTATGGCGTCTCCAGTGTTAATTATAAAACTGTGTAATACAGTTTATAGAAGAGAGAAAGAGAAAGAGAGAGAGAGAGAGAGAGAGAGAGAGAGAGAGAGGGGGGGGGCGGGAGGAAGTTAAATTGATATATAGACAGAGAGAGACAAGAGAGTGGGACTGACAAGGGAGAGAGTGAGAGACGAGAGTCAAAAACAGAAAAATCTGGAGGAGAGAAGATAGAGGGACAGCAGGCAATTGAATAGAGAGTAAGACAAAGAGACAAAGATAACAGACAAGAGAGAATGTGTGCTGGAGAAACGGAGAGACAAAGAGAGAGAAGGAAGTACTAGAGAGAGGCAAAGTGGGAGAGTGAGAAATGTAAAAGAGAAGTGGCGAAAGAAAGTCGGAGTGGCGAAACTGAGAGAGAAAAGTGTATGCAAGTGTGAATCATGTGAATGAAAGATAGAGAACCATTCTGGCCAGAAAATTTATTTGTTGAAGTTGAAAAAGAAAATTAAAGTCCTAACACATTTTGAAACAATTGTCTGCCTTGTACTGAAAGAGTTAAAGACAGGAGAAGTTAGAAAATAGTATGTGAAGGATACTTTTCCACGTGATTGATCATACTGGGCATATAGGGGTAGACCAATTTTTAAAATAAATAAGCTAGCACTCGATTAGTGATGTTGTCAACATCATACCGGCCGCCTTTACTTCCTAGGACTTCACCTGAAAGCTTGGTCGACCTGATAGTCAAAGTTATTTTTGAAGAAGAAAAAGTCGAGGACCCAAACCCACGATCTTTGAATTCGCTGGCGAAGCGCCAACCGCTACACCAGGGTGGCTCCCTAAAGACAGATAACGGACGAATAAATGGAGAAAAGCACATAGTGCACGAGGTAAAGATGAAACAAATGTGGAGTTACTTAGTACACAACGAGTTTGCATACGGGCTCTGTGTGACACACGAAAGCGTAGCTGACTGAGCACCTGTCTGCCAGATCCGCCCTGAGACAAGCTTGTGTCGGCACCGCACGGCAGCAAACCTGACAGGCATGTCTGTCAAACCCTCAGATGTTTATCCCGGTCTGAACTTTGGGGTGACTTCTGGTTTCCGGTCACCCAACACCATTTAAGAATACATGGCAACCGTGTTGCTTTGTGTTCTTTCTGAACATTTTAGGAAATAACACAAAAGACTCCCTGGTCTCTGGGTAATGAGATCGACCGCCCGTGAGCATTGTTCCTGGCGTAAAAATTCCCTCGGCAGTTGGAAATCGAAAAGAGTAGCTTAACAGCGCTGGCCGGGCAAAATTTTGAGTTTTTAAAAAAATCTACCTAAAGTATTTCAGGATCCTCGCCGGTGCTACAGAGCCAGTGCACTGTGCTAAGCCTCTTAGGACTCAAACTTAAGTTAGAAGAAGAACGGAGCACTTATAGGTTACTACACGTATGCCATGATGTTGATCAGTCCTGTCCATCTTCGCGTTTGAACGCCCCTGATTTTTCTTTCTTTCAAGAAACATGCTCTTCGTTGCCGTTCTATCTAATCCACTGTGATGTGGCAGAAATGTTTCAGCTTCTGAGATATAGTAATGTTTCTAATCCACCTTTCTTTTATGTCCAGACATTATCGATTAAATTCAGAAGGTTTGTTATTTCTTTTTTTTTTTTTTTGACAGAAAGAAATATCAAGAATATCAAAAGGTAATCCAACCCATTAAATGTTTCAACTGCAAAAGCTAAAACAATATGAATAAAATGCAAAATTTCGCTCGAATTAGATGGGGCCATTTAGGTTTAACAGATTGGAGAATACAACGACAAATATCAGTAGAAATTTTAGATAGAAAACGTTCAAAACACAAATGTGTGATCAACATATTTAAATGAAATCGTACAAAGTGTTCAGTCGCTAGCAATTGTCACTTTTTCTGTAAACCTAACATACTTTTTTCGTGTAAAACATACTATGAACTCTATTTTCAGTAAAACATCAAAAACACCCTTTCAGTAAAACCATCAGATACCCGTAGCAGCGTCAAGTTATTACTATTGTTGGTTTGTTATATGTCACAAAAATCTGCCCATATCGTTGGGGGGTGAGAAGAGAGGCGACATTTCGTGCCGGCTCCTATTAATGCCATGGCTGTTCACACTTGGTATCTTGTGTTGTAGGGGTGACAGGATATGCGTTCCTTTGTCTTCGTCGTTTATACACATCGTGCGGAAAAGCGGCTCCTGTTCGTTCGAGGTCCAACAAAAACATGGGGCACTTTTTTCTTCATGGCAGGTGACATGGAGCATCTGTAACACACAACACAAGTAACACACACTGTTCCGGCCGCTCACAATGTGGACAATAGAACGTGATGACAGCTCACAATGTGAAGTATAGAATGCTTGTAGCGTTAAAAATAACACAACATGGCACCCCTAGAACATAGGATAGCCTGTGGGAAATCTCGCGCCTAAAAAGATAAGGTGATTTTCGTGATATGTACCGTTGGTTTCACACACAAAAATATTTCTTTGCAGTTTACAAGCAAGTTTATTTTAAATCTTTTGTCATTCCCTCCCTCCGCGCCCCTTTCCGCACTTTCCTGCCAACCAATACTACTTTTTTAAAAACAATTAAAGGCTGGAAAGATAACATCGGACCTGAAAGACAGGACAAAAGGAGGTCAAATGCTTTTATAACTAGTACTGGCTCCCCCCCCCCCCCTTGAAAGCTCACACACCATATCTGAAACAACAGCAAATAAGCATACAGACAACATCTAACTACTGGTATCTACCTGACAGCCGAACTGCAATGGAGATTATCAGAGCTCCCAGAACTAATCGTGGCGTGTTAAAGATCTGTAAATATGACATTGGTTATTGAATGACTTGTCATTTCTTTTAAAATAAAATAAAATATCAAAGAAAAGATAATTTAACAGATTAAAATGGGTACTAGTGACGAATATAATCAGGATTTGTCTTCTTGTTACCAGATCTGTCAAAAAAAAAGTAAAGTACCCTTTCCCCATCTTCAGACATTTTGGTCGTATTGTTCTACACTTGTATTTTATAGACGAATGGGCACTCGGTGGGTGGTGTGTAATAGAAGATGGTGGCAGTAAAAATATTCAAACGGTCACCCACCACCAGATATCTTATAGCAGTCCCCTGGGTCCAAAGTTCACTCTGTATTTTGGATTTGCTGCTTATGTCCCACCCAAACCCCTCACCCTTACGGTGGCGCCTGATGCGGCCTAACTCTGTATCCTAGCACAGCATGACCCTGTCTCTGTTGCGATAAGGAAGGGTTGGCCTGAGGCTGCCGAAAATTACCATAAGAAACTTAACTACAAGATCCAACCAATCATAAACAGGGTTAAGGTTTAAGGTTTAGAGTTTAAACAACAGATAAACATCATGGCACAAAGGGTAACCCATAAGTGCTCCGTTCTTCTTCTGACTCAAGCCTGAGTCTGAAGAATTTCAGAGCACTGCACGAAACTCCGTAGCACCAGCAAGGATCCTAAAATACCAATTATAAACACGTGTAAAGAGGTCCTGTAGCGGGTTGGTTTAAGATAAATAATAATAATAATAATAATAATAATAATAATAATAATAATAATAATAATAATAATAATAATAAGAAGAAGAAGAAGAAGAAGAAGAAGAAGAAGAAGAAGAAGAAGAAGAAGAAGAAGAAGAAGAAGAAGAAGAAGAAGAAGAAGAAGAAGAAGAATTAAAAAGAAGAAGAAAATGAAGAAGAAGAAGAAGAAGAAAAAGAAGAAGGGGTTAAAGTACCAATTAACGCCTGCATGCCCTGGGACGAATATGAAGGTAACTGCACACACAGGAGAGTTTTGCAATGACTTAAACTACTGTCTGGGTAACCAGCCTGCCTCGACCCGCCGGATCATGCTCAAAGAATCACTCAGCACACACACGCGGGAATAGTCCAGTGATTATAGCCACATGAAAGCTTGTGTTACCGCCATCACCTCCATCGTCATGCTGCTGATAGTCATGGAGAAGACACCACTGGCTTCTTGAACAGTTCTGCCTGAAAAGCGATCTGTAAATGCCCATGCACTCTTATGTCCTCTTATAACAGACCCGTTTGTGAAGATCACCACATCTGCATCATCTGACTTGTCACTGATAAGCGCGCATACCTCGGCATTGACAGCTGGATTCTGCTCCCGACAACTCCTATCGAGCATCACGACACAGGAGAATGTGAGATTGGGCGCTTTAGACGCTGGTATACAATCCTCACCTGAATGGATGTTTGTAAGGCTGCAAAACTGCATGATGTCCTCCTCTGCCCTACCCAGCCATGATTTGTTCCTTTTAAGCCTATTGCTCTTTTTCTTGAAGAGTATATGGTGCAAAGGGTGCTTAAGATCTGAGCTTATCTTGAGGTATGCACGTGCCCTACATATCTTGATCCTACAGTTCATGGTAGGGAAGTCAAGAAGGTACCTCATTGCTACACAAGAGGTGTCTCCGGTGCACCCCAGAATAATGCGCATTGCTTCATTTTGTACCTTCTAGAGTCTTTCAGTTTTATTATGGCTGACAGTGAGGATGGCAAGAGCATATTAGATGGGAGAAAGTACAAGTCCCTGGAACAGAAGCAGAAGCAGTCTCTGCTCAGTTTTAGCGGCGGCCAGGACCCTCTTGCTGACAGGCCTCTCCAATGAGGTTCGTATGCAGACTCGATCCGACACCGAAGTTCCCTCTCCACGGAGACTGTATTGCAGCACTCCCCTCTAGCTTGGGAAACATGGATTTGTGCCAGGTCATCACGATAACTTCTCATGTTTGGAGACATGTATTTGCGTGAAAAACAAAAGATCATGATCCATAACAGACTATACAATTTGGGATTAGACCATGACTGGATTTTTTTTTTTCCACGCGTTTAGGTATTTCATTATAAAGACACTGTAACCAAATCCCAAAGAAAAGAGATCAACTGATAGGTTA